TCATATTGTCTTTCATAATCTTGTTTTAATGTATTTATTGTATCAATTGATTTTTTCTCATTGAAATTTTTTTCTTCTTGTAATTTTATTAATTCAGATTTTATAGTTTGAATTTCATGTGTTGATTGATCAAGTTTATTTTGATAGTCTTTTATTTGTTGTTCATAATGTGATTCACGTTCATTAAAAGTTGTATTTAATTTTTGTTCTATAGGAACAAAAAAATCTTTTTTTTTCAAGAAACTAAAAATGAAATGAAAAAAAAATTGTTTAACCTCGATTATTTAATTCAGCTAAATCATTTTGAAGTTTTTCACATTGTTTTTCATAATCTTGTTTTAATGTATTAATTAAATCATTGGTTGGTTTTTCTTTTGAAATATTTTCTTCTTGTAGTTGTTTTAATTCAGTTCGAACTTTTTCTGTTTTATGAACAGCTTGAGCAATATTTGATTGATATTCTTTTATCTGTTGTTCATAATGAGATTCACGTTCAGTAAGTGTAGAATTTGCTGTTTGATCTATGAAAATAGAGAAAGAAAATTTTTGGTAAGAAACAACAAAAAAAAAGAATGTTATATGTACCTCGATTTTGTATTTCTATTTTTAATGTTTGATTTTGTTTTTCTAAATCAGAAATAATAATTTCTTGATATCGTTTGTGTTCAACAAGTAAATCATTGACTTGTTTTTCACTTGTTTCTTTCTCTTGTTGTAATTTCGTTAATTGAGGTTGAACCTAAAAAGTGTACAATGATATACTTGAAAATATTTAATTCTACTATCCATTATCAAAGTTAATATTCTGTAATTAGAAAGACTTGGATTTGAATGCTTTTAAGATTTGTTTAAGTTAATAAAGGAGAGTTGAGGAAATAAAAAAATACAATTTATACTTTCATTTACTCATGCGTTTTCATCAATAAGATATGTGTTGTCATCATCTTATGCATAATGTCCAAGAATTTAACCTACAGTACGAAATTCTTAGCATAAAAAATTTACTCATTTTTCGGCGTATGACAGACAACTGGTTAGAGTCAGAAAGAATTAGAGCTTTACGCTATTTTCGAATGTATGTTCAGATTTTCCTTTTGGGATAAGATTGAACAACTATCAGTAAATTTTGTGAAAAAGTCTGCAATTGAGTATGAATGAAGAAAAGATCGCCACACATAATGCATAAAGTGATGAAAGTACATAATAGTGTAAGACAGTATCTGGTAGCACAAGGCGCGAATAGCAAGATTTAGTTATGTGTATTTTGTATTTATCAGCAGACAATGCACGGAGATATATTTTGATTAGATTTCATTGGATATGAACATTATTGAAATGGATTATGTCTACTGCGGTTGAACGGATGACTTTGATCAAGGGAACTCTCAAATTCTGAATTTGGGATGGAGAAGGTAATATTTCCATTAGAGTATATTTTGTGCTTGTATTCGCACAGCTCTCTCATAAAGATAAACTTTTAATTAACCCTCATACCACCATCCAAGGTTCACTTAGACTTCAGAATACGCAACTCATTTCACGGTTTTCGTTTCTGTATTAACATTTCACTTCGATATTTTGTATACTTCTTCATTGCTAGAGAACAACTTCATTGATGAGCACTTGAATTGACATTGTCAGAATCCACAAACAATTCAACTAGACGTTCAGTTGACCATGCAGACTATTGGAATACTGATCATCGGTCCAATATCT